CTCGTAACTGATATCGGGAGGTAGCAGGTTTCCAACAGATAACACATGAACATAGATGTCGATTCTAAGAGGGAATTTAGTCCATCACTTTCGCCGAAAACTCTAATCGCTTTGGACCTTAGACATACCTAATAGGTCCAGTGCCATTTATCCGTTCGACGACGTTGTCGCTGCCGGAATACTCGAGAATTACATCCTGTATGGGGATTTGTTGTCGGAAGACACTGACTTGATAGTGACCATTCAGCAGGAATTCGCCATTTGATGCGCGCAACGCTAAAGGATTTTGACCGCCTTCCCTTTCAAAGGTAACAGTAAAAGCTTGTTTTGAGCTCCCACTCACATAGATAGTTGTCGTCGTCCTTCTGATTGTTATAACCATGCTGTCGGATGTCTATGTTTGCTGACCCGGCCGGGATTTTCATTACCTACAAACCGCTTTTATAATTCCTTTCACATCTCAAACATGGAAATAATTTCATAAACGTACAGCATTATACCCAAACGATCCTCTTTCATTGTAGGTGCCCTTGACAGTCCTGCAAGTTGTTCCATCTCCTCCGCAAATGCCACATTTGTCTCGAGTCATTGTAGAGTGTAAACGATGATCGCATCCCGCCTAAACGGACTCATAAAGGGGAAAATTCCCGGTTTTTGTGAGACATTTAGTTAATGAGATTTGAATCAGGAGATGGAGCTTTTATCATCATGTGTGACCAACTTTCAAGCAAGTTCCATCGACACAGATGTCATCGCCGTTTCTATCACAGGGAGTACCATCGATGACCTAAAAGAACAAGTTATCCATAACAATTAGGTCTTTAAGTCTCACAATTTCTATTGAACTAGCAATAATCGATTTAAGTAAACACAGTTTAGCGCGAGTTATTCTGTGGGTTTCTCAATAAATCCTTCAAAAACCTAAGTAAAATTATTGCCAGGCCATTCTTCTACTCTTCAACTTTGTGAATTTCCCTCTTTTCGCGAGCTTCAACACGTACAGTTCCACGTTGAGTACAGTGCCATATCGCTCTTACACAATCAGCAAC